GTCGCCTGATTGACTCGGGGAAGGTTACTGAACAGAAGACGATACTGACAGATCCGACTGCTCTCATCTGAAAAAACTGAACACACACACAATATGACAACTGGATTATTTCAGGTGTATTCATATTTATATTAAGGCAAGACACTGTAGGCAAAACCATTGCTTTTGCTTTCTTCACTTGTCTTCTTTCAGACTAGTGAAAAAAATAATACAAAAATACACATTTAAGTGTTTATTTTACTGTAGTTTTTCCATTTGCATCTGTAAATTTCAATTACAATATAGATTTTTATCTTGAGTTTGTTTCTCCACTTCAGCAGCACTTACATACACCAAAGGTTTTTACTGAGGGGTTTGTTCATTTTTCATTCACACTGATTTATACAACATTTTATTCATAAAAACATGGTGAAAATGCATATTTTTAAAGGCAATTAGTTTGTTTCTCCACTTCAGCAGCACCAAAACTTAGAGATTTTACTGAGGGGTTTGTTCATATTAGTGGTCGACCGATATATCGGCCGATATTTGGAACTTTTTCAGATATCGGCATCGGCCGATCAGTTTTTCTGTTTGGCCGATGTGGTCGAGGAGGGACTTTTATTTTGACGGCGCGCCAGACTTTTTTGACGGCGCTGAGAGCGACAGCGCCTGAGCGCACACCGCTCACATTCTCCCTTTTGTTCGCTGTCTTCGTTCAGTTCTGTCTAATATGGATAGAAGTCTATCTAATAATCAGATAGAACTGTTAAACAAAGGAATTAAATTGTATACAAAAAAGTATTATAACGATTGCTTTAATATTATTAGTAATAATAAATAAAATTATATCGGCTTTATATCGGCCACCCTGCTTTCCAAGATATCGGCATCGGCTGTCAAAAAACCCATATCGGTTGACCACTAGTTCATATATTACTCACACTGATTTATATAACATTATTTTCCTAAAAACATGGTAAAATTCGGTACAGCAGGAGGAAAAAATACTAAACATACATATACTGTATATATATATATATATATATATTTAAATTAAACAATGTTTTACTGAACAAATAGCTCTTTCTTTAAATAAATTCAATTAGAATTAAAATTTTCTTTAAATCTACCTCATAAAATAATTTTAAAAAATCTACCTCTGCTCTAAACTATAGGGAGCCCTTTTACATTAGGCCTACTATAAGGTTACAATTAACAAACTTAAATTAATTACCATTTATTTTTAACTATAATAATCAACACTCAAATTAACAAATGGTATACAAACATGTAAACTGCACTCAATGCAGTTTTTAAATTAACTTCTAAATTATACAATTTCTATTTGTTGTTGAAATATAATCATTTAGGCTACACAGCGGCTGTCATAACTTGTTTCATAAAAGATTTATTTAAATATAGCCTACATTAAATAATTAAGACGTCACTAACAGGTAAAGTAAAATATAATGAGTAGCTATACCGTCTAATATTTCACGAAATGCTCTTCTCTAGACTTCATTTCTCTGGTGAGCTAACGAGCTGTAGACACTGATGACTTGCCTGAGGTAAATTAAATGCTGTGACATTTTGTTTACAAGCTGTTTTAATCACATCTTTCCGCGATTGAGCAATTACATGAGGCATGAGATGTTCATTCATGTTTATTTCACATTAAAACTAGTAGTAAAGAGCAAGGGATGATGGCGCTCCGCATGACAAAACGGCATTTATTGTCTGAATTTCCTGAAAAAATGTAATGTTTTGTTCGATACACATGCGCACCGATCCGTAAATATTCGGTACGAATATGTGCACCGTTACACCCCTATAATATACCTGTAGCACTGAGCCAGCTGTGCGCCTCCAGGCCAAACAATCCCTCCTCGATGCCTCTGAAGAAGCGCTTGAGGACGTTGGAGACGTCATCCACCTGATGTTCACCTTCCTTCAGCCAAACACATCTGGCGTCACGTCTGAACTCCTCCAGCAGGGCGGCGATCTTACTGTTCACGCCACTCTTACGGTAGATTCCCTCTGAGGTCAGACCTGCAGGACACACACACACACAACATCATTATACACGGGAACACACACTTATGATGTTTAACGAACCCCTAAACCACATAATATTAACTGAATAGGGGTGTAACGGTACACAATCATCACAAAGTCACGGTTCGGTATGGTTTTGGTACAGCAGGAGGAAAAAGGCTTAACATAAATTGCTTTTTTTTAATTAAGCATTTCTTAGGAATAAAAATCTACCTCAGCTTCTGCTCTAAACTATAGGGAGCACTTTTACATTACTAAAAGGTTACAATTAAAAACAGAGCCCAAACTTAAATTCAATTGCTATTTTTTTAAACTATAATAATCAACACTCAAATTAAAAATAAATTAATAAATTGTATGCAAATATGTAAATTGCACACAATGCAATTTTTAAATTAAATTCAAAATTAAACAATTTATATTTGTTGTTGAAATATAATCATTTACACAGCGGCTGTCATAATTTGTTTCATAACACATTTAATTAAACTTACATTAAATAATTAAGACATCACTAACAGGTAAAGTAAATAGTCTAATATTTTGCGAAATGCTCTTCTCTAGACTTCATTTCTCTAACGAACTAACGAGCTGTAGACACTGATGACTTGCCTGAGGTAAATTAAATGCTTCTGTAAAACTGCTTTGAAACAATGTGTATTATAAAAGGCACTACACAAATAATTGTGATTCGGCTTGAGTTTTCTGGATAGTAATTCAGTTTATCACTGCTTTCAAGTCCGTAAATGTGTCAAGTGTTTTGTTGTTAATGTTTCTACCATGTGACACACTCTATGCTTTTACTCCTGAACAGAGTTCTGTCTGACAGTCACCTGATTCACAGACACATCAGTCCAAATGAATCATGAAAATTAATCAGACGTCTGCAGGGACACATTTACTGCCGTGGTTTCATGTCATCATCTGTTAAGTAAAGTGTACATCTAGGAGCTCATTAACTCTCAGTAGGTGAGCTCACTGTTTAATACTAGTTAGTTAGATAAAGATCACATGATCACTGAGACACAAGAGGAATCTGTGTTTAAGTGAGGTTTTTGTGGTGTGTGTGTGTGTGTGTGTGTGTGTGTGTTATCTCTGTCAACAGTCATTTGGCTTCATTTGCCCGATTCTTTGGACAGAAAGTAAGACATGATTGAAGATTCTTTCACAAAAACACACAGATTAGAAAAAATATAAAACAGAGTAGAATAGAATTAAGCAAGGTTGAATATAAATTAGAAAGGAGTTGAATAGAGTCAACCCAAGTAGAGTTGAGAAGTTTAGAATGAAGTAGAACAAAGCTAAATCAAGTAGAAAAGAACTGAACTGGGTCAGAAAGAGTTAAATAGAGTACAGCAGAATTGAAGTGTAGAATAGAGTTGAATGGAGCAGAACAACTGAACAGATTTGAATGGGGACAAAAAAAGCAGAGCTGAGAAGATTAGTATGGAGTAGAACAGCTTTATCAAGTAGAAAAGAACTGAATTGGGTCAGAAATAGTTAAATAGAGCAAAGCATAATTAAAGAGTGTAGAATAGAGTTCAAAAGAGCAGAACGACTGAACAGATTCGAATGGGGTTTAAACAGAGTTGAAAAGATTAGAATAGAGCAGAACAGCTGAATCAAGTAGAAAAGAACTGAATTTGGAAAGAAAGAGTTAAATAGAGTAAAGCAGAATTCAAGAGTGTAGAATAGAGTTGGACAGAGCAGAACAACTTAACAGATTTGAACGGGGACAAACAAAGCACAGTTGAGAAGATTAGAATGAAGTAGAACAGTTTATCAAGTAGAAAATAACTGAATTTGGACAGAAAGAGTTAAATAGGGTAAAGCAGAATTAAAGTGTAGAATAGAGTTGAATGGAACAGAACAACTGAACAGATTTGAAAGGGGACAAACAAAGCAGAGTTGAGAAGATTAGAATGAAGTAGAACAGTTTATCAAGTAGAAAATAACTGAATTTGGACAGAAAGAGTTGAAATGAGATGTAAAACCGAATTAAAGAGAGTAGAGTTGAATAGAGCAGAACAACTAAAGAGATTCGACCGGGGTCGAACAAAGTAGAATTTAGAAGATTAGTGGAGTAGAACAGCTATATCAAGTAGAAAAGAACTGAACTGGGTAGAAAGAGTTAAATAGAGTAAAGCAGAATTCAAGAGTGTAGAATAGAGTTGCACAGAGCAGAACAACTTAACAGATTTAAATGGGGTTGAGAACTAGAGTTGAGAAGATTAGAATGAAGTAGAACACAGCTGAATCAAGTAGAAAATAACTGAACTGGGAAGAGTTGAATACAGCAAAAGCAAAATTAAAGTGTAGAATGGAGTTGAATAGAGCAGAACAACTGAACAGATTTGAATGGGACTGAGAACTAGAATTGAGAATATTAGAAAGAAGTAGAACATGGTTGCATCAAAGCATAGCTCAGTAGCTTAGTACACATAAGATACATAAATGTAGTTTCATTTGTCTGAGTACAAGGTTTTATTTTTTCAATTTAGCACCGTTTTGTCTCACTTCGCAGCGCTCCACGATCACGGGAATGTCGGCCTCCGTCAGCTGCTGCTGACTCAGTGTGTCTCCAGAACTCCCAGCAGCCCTCTGGATGGCTGCAGCCCAGCCCTGGAAATCCAGCTTCCTCTCGCCCTCGATGTACACCGTCCTGCGGGAAGACGTCCAGTTAGTCAGCATCCGCCCGCTGTCACAAACATATGAGACTTAACCGGGTTAACCTCGACCTGCTCACCTGCCTCGCTCCACCAGAACCAGAACCTCATTCTCCGGCTGGATCGCTGCACACGCGAACACACACACACACGCACACACACGCGCATACACGAACACACACACACATGTACACACGAACACACGCACGCACACACGAACACACACACAAGTTCAGTTTAGAGTCAACATACCGCTTCACAGCAGGGTGACCCTAGTAAAAAAGTAATATATTTAATATACATTTATTTCAGTATAAACTTTAAGTATGGTTCAAATATCTATCAGTATTTTTGCTTTGGTGGTTTATTTTTGCTGGTATTGGTGGCATTTTTGTCTATTTTGGTGGCATTTTGTTGGTTTTGGTGTCATTTTGTTGATTTTGGTGGTATTTCTGCTGATTTTGGTGGCCTTTTTGCTGTTTTGATTGCATTTTTGTTGATTTTTGTCTATTTTGGTTGCATTTTTGTTGATTTTGTTGTTATTTTTGTTGATTTGGTGGTGCTTTTGTTGATTTTGGTGGTATTTTTATTGGTTTTTATGTAATTTTTGTTGGCATCTTTGTTGTTTTGATTGCATTTCTGTTGTTTTTTTGGAGTGATTTTTGTCTATTTTGGTGGTATTTTTGCTGGTTTTGGTGGCATTGCTGTCCGTTTTGGTGTCACTGTTGATTCTGGTGGCATTTTTGCTGATTTTGGTGGAATGTCTGTTGATTTCAGTGGTATTTCTGCAGATTTTGGTGGCATTTTTGTTGATTTGGTGTCATTTTTGGTGGTATTTATGGTGGTTTTTGTGTCATTTTTTGCTGATTTGGTGGCATTTGTTGATTTTGTTGGAATTTTGTTGATTTTGTTGGCCTTTTTGTTTTTTTGATTGCATTTCTGTTGGTTTTGGAGTGATTTTTGTCCATTTTTGTTGCATTTTTGTTGGTTTTGTTGTCATTTTTGTTGATTCTGTGTCATTTTTGTTCATTTTGGTGGTATTAATGGTGGTTTTGATGTCATTTTTGCTGATTTGGAGACATTTTTGTTGATTTTGGTGGTATTTTTGTTTATTTTGTTAGCATTTTTGTTGATTTGGTTGGCTTTTTTGTTGTTTTGATTGCATTTCTGTTGGTTTTGGAGTGATTTTTGTCTATTTTGGTTGCATTTTTGTTGATTTTGTTGTTATTTTTGTTGATTTGGTGGTGCTTTTGTTGATTTTGGTGGTATTTTTATTGGTTTTTATGTAATTTTTGTTGGCATCTTTGTTGTTTTGATTGCATTTCTGTTGTTTTTTTGGAGTGATTTTTGTCTATTTTGGTGGTATTTTTGCTGGTTTTGGTGGCATTGCTGTCCGTTTTGGTGTCACTGTTGATTCTGGTGGCATTTTTGCTGATTTTGGTGGAATGTCTGTTGATTTCAGTGGTATTTCTGCAGATTTTGGTGGCATTTTTGTTGATTTGGTGTCATTTTTGGTGGTATTTATGGTGGTTTTTGTGTCATTTTTTGCTGATTTGGTGGCATTTGTTGATTTTGTTGGAATTTTGTTGATTTTGTTGGCCTTTTTGTT